AAAAAAAAATTAAGAAAAATAATAAGGAATATAATGTCTTAATACTCGGCTAAAACTTTTTAAGATTGTTAAATCGGGCTATGTTTTATTATAATATTACTTTACTCCTTAAATAAAACAAAAAATCAAAGAAAAGGGAAAAACGTAAACAATATTTTGTGCATGTGAGAAATTTTTATACTTTTATTATAATGTTATAGAATATCCGAAAAATCTAAATGTTAAAAAGGATATTGGTGTTAATGGTTGCCATTAAGACAGTAAGCCCTTAAAACGAATTTTCTTAATTTTTATTTTATTTGATTTTTTTTTTATTATATTTTTACGTAAAGATTAATTTATTTTAATGAGAAGATTTCATCTTAACAATATTTTCGTATTGGATACAAAATATAATATGAAAGAAAAAACAAAAATTAAAAAAATATTTTGCTTTTTTTCGAAAATTGAATTGTACAAATCTGTGCTAAAAGTTTTTTGGCCTTTGTCCATATGTCGTTACTTGGATATTATTTCGGTGTTATGTCAAAGATTAAATCAATTTGGATTGCTGTTATTAATGGTAATCCGAATTAATTTAATCATAGTATTTAAATAATTTTTTATCATTATCTTCTGGGTAGTTAATGTTTTAGGATGGAAACAATTGGTTTAATTTGACGTTACATGGAAATAATTAGCTCCATTATAAGTACTTGCAGATTTATACTCGGAACGTTTTGATTGTAGCACTATGAGTTACAGTTATTTATTTGTAACATTTAAAAACTTAAAGTTGAAAATCCACAGTTCACTTAATTTGAATTTTTACCTCAAAACTCTTCTTATGTTTTTGAGAAATAATAATTTTTACTACAAGAAAATTTTTTCGTTAGTAGTTAAAGCAGACAACTTCTTCCTAAATTGCTTTACCGAGAAAGTGTGAGTAAATGGAACAAAAAAATGCACTTACATTTACCTGATCCCGATTTATTTAATATTTTACTTGCTTTCACTTCAATAAGTCAAATGCACCTTGATATATGCAATTTTTTTTATTTATAATATAGAACAAAATAAGATTTTATCACAAAAAAAAAAAGAAAAAAATTAGGAAATCTACTTACTTTAAATTTAACTTTCTTGGTCTAAGGTTTTAATTTATTTTGTATTATTGTTTTGTAAAATCTGGAAGATCTATATAAAAACTTTTTGATAGATAATTTTTTTGGAGGGTGTTAACACTTTGAATGTTTAACCTTTATTTTCGTGAAATGATCCTTTTCTATTTTTTTTTTATTATATTCTTTGAAAGATTAAATATCTATCAATATACAATAGAACTAATTTATGAGTTTTACATTATTAGTTGTTATATTCTATTAATGATTGTTACGTTATACTCATTCTATTGTCTTTTATACTTCTAAGAGAACCACAATAAATATGGCACGTTTTTTTTTTTCCTTGTTCCTTTATTGTTCTTGAGTTTTTGTTTTCCTTTCATTTCAAATGTTATTTTTGTTAGGAAAACTTTTAATTGTTTCATCATTATTTTCATCTGATGTCTTATTTTTTTTGTTGCATACTACAAACGTATAAACGTTTGTGCATATATAATAAATTTCGTTTAATTGCTCATAATTAATAAGAATATGAAGAAGTTGATGAAATATTTTGCGGTTAGACTATCGATTGCTTAAATTAAATTTTTCCATAAAGGTAATTTTTCAAAATAACAATTTCAAATTTTGAAATAAGTAGAGTTCTTTAAAATATTTTAAAATAATTGAATAGTTAGAGAAGAATTTTGGTTGTCAATTTTACAGTGTTTTCTAGAAGTTGTTTTAAAAAGAGATTATACGAAAAAATCGGGTATTTTTCAAAAAGGAACTCGCATTTTTATTTTGAAATTATAACGCGTTAGTTTCAATAGTGAAGAAACTAAGTCATGTATTGCAGTTTAGCTCTAAAGAAATTGCAAAAACTAATCCCTTAAATTTTCACCGAATTCTCCAGAATGTATGTGCCATGTATCTAGGTCTTCGATTGAAGTTTCAATTACAAAATATATTTTTCTGAATCGTTGGATTTTCGAATACACGATCCAATTACAAATTATGTACGTATTTGCGTTTTACAGATCTGCATTGAAAATTAATTTTCGAAAATACTTGATATTGAAAATACTTCAAAACTGGAATCTTAGTTATTTTATAGCTGCTCTACGTTTTCAAGTTAAAGTTCTAAAAATTTCCGTCAACTTCACTCACATACATATATAAAAAAACGAAAAATGTAAATTTACAAATTCTAATCAACTTTAACAATTGATTTTCTTCGGAATTTTTTCAAGTTCGGGTAGTTGTTGGATATTATTTTTTTATTTGATTTAAAATAGCATAAATTCAGCCATTATTTATGTTAATTTTTGTGATAAAATATCAGAATAAAAATAAATTAAAAGTTTGCTAAATAAAATTTTTTTTTACATTATTAAACTAAATAATAACAGTTTGGTTATTAACATGGTTAATGTGAGTTATAGTTATATAAGAAACTAGTGTTGAAAAATAATCATGAATTAAATACTTTCACAAAAATAATAATTACAAGAAACAAAAAAAAAACCACAAGTAAACGAATATAAAAGACAAAAAAAAAAGAAAAAAATTAGGAAAACCCATCGTAAAAACCTCAAAATTTAATTAAGCCTAATGAAAGGTCGGCATCCTTTTGTTGATTAGAACAATTTTGTTAAATTTCTTTTACGACTGTTTATTTGCTATGTTTATGTATAGATGAATGTCGATATGTTCATATAAATGTATTAAAAGTCTACATATATAAATTAAAAGGATACAAAAAGTTTTTATTAATTATATTGTGCTTCTGTTTTTCGATAATTTCTGGGAATGAAATTTTTGAAGTATACTGAATTGGATATTCCATTTATGATGTAAATTTCGGGTTGAAATGTTATAAGTATTAATATTTACGTAGTGTATATTTAGAGAGCTTTATTTATTGGCGTGAGAATATTATGTGTCGCGACTGAAGAACATGCCTAAAATTAGAAATGTTTTTATTCTTGTTTTACAAAAATTTGATTAAATTTTTTTCGCACACGTTATAACTTAAAAATTTCTGTGCTTAGAAGAATTAAATATCGGTAGTTACAACCTACTTTCCAAGAGAAAAGATGATCCATTATAGCTGTTTATAAATTTTTCTAAATATATTTTAGTTTGATTACTCTTACAATTTCAGTACAAAGAGGAAAGGATTAAAGGCCATAAATTTAAAATATTGTAATGAAATTCCGCATTCTGAAAATCCGCAGCTGAAGAGGCAGAATTTTAAAAAAAGGTATTCTCAGATTTGTCGAAGAAAATTTTTTTTTTTGGCAACTGAAGGCTGTTTACATTAAGGTGCCTTATAATTAACCAGAAAAATGGTTTAAATTATGCTTTCTATATCTTTTATACATTATTTTACTTATATACATACATATATGTATATGTATATTTAATAATATCAACAAAATGATAACACTTATTTCATATAAACTGCCTATAATTTTTATATGTTTTCTCTTATAATGAAAGAATAGTTATTTATAATTTTTTTTTTTTTTTGAACCACAAGACCTTGTATCATTTTCATAATGAGAAATTATAAGGATACGCATATAATTTAAGGATTGTTTTGTTTAATATTAAATATATACTCATATATACGAGTATGTAATGTATATATAAAACACACACTGTAATATGCCTGTGATACTATAAATATAATATTATATATGAATATTATGTAAATAAATTTATTTAATTTCACGATTATAATTCGTTATGGACTGATGAATATAAAAATTATGGTTATTTTAGATATAGAATGTACATCCATACACATGTAGAAAATTCTATATGTTTAATATAAAAGTAAATATTTATTTTGAAAAATATTTAATATAAAATTAAAAATTAAAGTAACCATAAGCAATTTTTTTTAAAAAGGATTCACATTTAATTATAATTATTAATGTTGTCTGTGAAAAAATTTAATTATAGAAACATATAAATGTATATATTTAATAAAAATAATAATTTTAGAAATTAAAGACCAAAAATCTTTAGTATATGATACGAGTACTAAAAATTATTATTTAAAATTTTAATTTTATTAAAAGAATTAAAATTAGGAATTTGCTTCTCATTATTTTATTTAAAAATAAAATTTTTAGGTTTAAAGCGATTTCTTCCCATCAGTTTGTTCAAGATTGCAAAAATATTCGTTCAAGATTATAAGGTTCAAGAAATCAAAGAGTGGATGCACAATTTACTATATGGTTTTGGAAAACTCGAACAGGATAAGGGCAGATTTTGTAATAATTATTAATTAATTTTGAAAAAAAAATTTAACATCTCCTGTTTTAATATTTTTTAGTGATAAGTTCCATCATTATCTTAATGGAAAACAGAATTAAGCAATAATTTTACTGAGTCGCTCCAATAGTTTGTTACAACAATCAATCTGTTCTAATTTAATTGTCGAGTTAATAAAAATATTACAGAATTTTTAATAAAATCGTAATATTCTCTAAAACAATTCTATTTTGTAGCGAATTTTTCAACACTTAAAATCAAATAAAGAATTTAAAAATTGTTAATTCTTAAAAGAAATATAAATATTTGCAATAGTGTTGAAATTTCCTTGCTCATGAGCATTAAAATTTTAAAGGTAAAGGTAAATTTGTGTACAATATTTTATTTTTATTTAAAAATCACTTTAAAAAATTTTTCATTTTAACTTTTAAATTTTTACTCTTTTTAATATTTTTTTATATAATAACTTACCTTTAATTTAATTAATTGAAAAAGTTCCTTTTCTTTCATTACTTTAATATTAGAAATTCATACATACATATTTGAACTAAAACTATTTTCAAATTTTTAGGTCACATAGTTTTGTATTTGCAAGTCATACAACAAAAACAAGTTTCTGTACAATTTTTTTTATAATTTACTGTTGCGGCCACTTGAAGGAGTATTATTTAATAAAGAATTTCAATGGAAAAAGGTCATCCATAAAGCAAATTTAGAAATGGAATTTTTAAGTTCTACTAAAATTATAGTGAACTTTACAAAAACAATTGGAAAGAAGTTACTTTAAGATCACAAAGTTTATGATACGAAATATTTTCGTGTTATCATTCAATAATGGAATTAATTAAGAAGACTTATAAACACAAATTTAATCACACTTGTTGAATGAGTTTTTGTGAGAACAATAAAAATTTAGAAACGCCTTAAAATAGTTCGTTGAAAATGAAAAACTATAAACAGACATGAAGGATGGTACCTGTTGCGCGAATTTAACTGTTGCTAAGAAATACATGTAAGCAACAGTTAGCGTAATTGTATAAACAAAATAATTGTTGATAATTTGTAAATCCAAACTTAAGGCATACATGGCGATTTTTCTCAGTATCCAAAGGAGACCGTATTTGTTATTGATTAAACAGAATTTTTATTTCAACTTAATTCTAAAAATCACGAGAGCTATTCGAAAAAGAAGAAAAAAATTAAAATGAAATTTTTTAAGAAACTTTTTCGTAAGAAAAAACCTGAATTAAAACCTGGAGAAATCTTAGATCAAGTTATTTCACAGTCATCAGCAAGTGCTAATCAGTGTCTTCTTTATAAATTAGCAAATTATAAACGAGGTGAGGTTATTAAAATATATTTTACATTTTTGAGTTACGTAACACATACTTTTAAAAATTTTATAATTTACTTTATAAAATTTAAAATAAAAATGTTATTATTAATTTATTTAAGGTGGTGATTTAATTGATGCAATTCAAACTGGTGGTCAAATTGCTGTTGAACAATTAATTCGTGAACAATTTGGTGTTTTTATGTATAATAATGGTAAAGGACAAGTAATTAATCGTGCTGAATTTTTACGTTGGAAATATCGTGATAATCATCAAGTTACAATACCAATTGAAGCATCATTATCATCACATGATCCATTGGGTAAATGGTTCGATCATAAAGCATGTTGGCAAATGCAATATCGTGGTTCATTGGGTGAAACACTTTTACATGTTTTAATAATATGTGATACAAAAGTTCATACAAAATTGGCACGTATTCTTTTAAGAGTATTTCCAGTTTTAGCTTTAGATGTTATGGAAGGTGAAGAATATTTGGGTGCAAGTGCTTTACATTTAAGTATAGCATATAGTAATAATGAATTAGTTGCTGATTTAATTGAAGCAGGAGCTCTTATAAATCAACGTGCTATTGGAAGTTTCTTTTTACCAAGAGATCAACAAAGAAATAATCCAGTAAAAAATACTGATTATGAAGGATTGGCATATATGGGTGAATATCCATTAGCATGGGCTGCATGTTGTGCTAATGAAAGTGTTTATAATTTATTAATTGATTCTGGAGCCGATCCAGATGCACAAGATTCTTTCGGAAATATGATATTACATATGGTTGTTGTTTGCGACAAACTAGTAAGTTTTTTATTTTAGATTTTTTTGTAATCATTTTTAAAATAGATTTATTTAATATTTTGATATTGCGGTTGTTCAAAATTAAAGATTTTATAAACATTGCTTGAACCTAATCAATTTACTTTTAAAACTAATGATTTAAAATTTTCTGTTTAAAACTAATTTCTTGAAATTATTATTTTACCTGCTCTTTTAATATTCTCATAGGAATATTTCCTTAATATGCATTGTTTTGTAGGATATGTTTGGATATGCCTTAAGACATCCAAGGACACCGGCAAGAAATGGTATTGCTAATAATCAAGGACTAACACCATTAACGTTAGCGTGTAAATTGGGAAGAGCAGAAGTATTTCGCGAAATGTTGGAGTTATCTGCCAGAGAATTTTGGCGTTACAGTAACATAACTTGTTCAGGCTACCCGTTGAATGCCTTGGATACTCTATTACCAGATGGAAGAACGAGTAAGATTTACTTCTTTAATAATTTACGGAATATACATATAAAATTTTAAATATTAAAAAAATATTATGAAACAGCATTGGATAATAAAACGAGTATTTCTTTTGGGAAAATCATTGTAAGTTAAGAAAAAAATTGTGCATAAACGTAATGGAAAGCACTGCAAAATTTTGACTAATATTGTTATGTGAAACACTGAATTATTCACTAAGCATTCAACGTATAGACAAATGTGTGTATATTAATGCATACAAGATGTAAAGGCCTTATGATAGCTCAATTGTACATAATAAAGCACTTGTTATCAAAAATAACAGTAATTGTAAATAAATGAAATTTTAAAAATGCCCTAACCGCAAGATTGTAAAAGTTCAAACGACATTTCTCCTAACCCCACTATCATAAGTTTGTGAGCAATGTGCAAGCCTAAACCAAAAGTCTAATTCAATAAGAACTTCAATAACAAATCTATTTCCATTTTATTAACTGTATTACATATTTTTAGATTGGAATTCAGCATTATTCATAATATTAAATGGTACGAAAGAAGAACATCTTGATATGCTTGACGGTGGAATCATACAACGTCTTCTGGAAGAAAAGTGGAAAACTTTTGCTCAAAATCAATTCTTGAAACGTTTATTAATCCTTTTCATATATTTATTCTTCTTATCCATATCGGTTTACTTAAGACCAGAAAATAATAATGCGGCAACTAAAGAACGGCAAAGAGCGATCGACAACAATGAAAACAGTGGTTACGATACAATGACCATAGCACGATATTCGTGTGAACTTGCAACATTAGTAAATGTTGCTTGTTTCCTAATTTTTCAACAAGGTGATGAAATTAAAAACCAAGGATTTTCAGCTTTTGTTAAGCAATTGGGACATGATCCAGCTAAAACAATATTTTTGATATCAAATTTTTTAATATTGGCATGTATACCATGCCGTATGATGGGTGATACTGAAACAGAAGAAGCCATATTAATAATTGCAGTACCAGGTAGTTGGTTTTTACTTATGTTCTTTGCTGGTGCAATTCGATTAACAGGTCCATTTGTTACAATGATTTATTCCATGATTACTGGTGATATGTTCACATTTGGTATAATCTATACAATAATTTTATTTGGATTCTCTCAGGCCTTTTATTTCTTATTCAAAGGTCATCCAAATGGTGATTCAACACTTTTTGGTAATTTTTTTTCAACATGGATGGCATTATTTCAAACTACTCTGGGAGATTATAATTATCCAGAATTAAATCAAACTTCATATCCGAATTTAGCAAAAACAGTTTTTGTTATTTTCATGATATTTGTGCCAATTCTGTTATTGAATATGTTAATCGCTATGATGGGCAACACATATGCTTTAGTTATTGAAAGATCTGAAAAAGAATGGATGAAACAATGGGCAAAAATTGTTGTTACGTTAGAAAGAGCAGTACCACAAGCTGATGCACAAAAATACTTAGAAGCTTATTCTATACCGCTTGGTATGACGGATGATGGTACAGAGCAACGTGGTGTTATGGTTATTAAAAGTAAGAGTAAAACAAGAGCACGGCAACGTAAAGGGGCAGTTAATAATTGGAAACGTGTGGGAAGAGTAACTTTACAAGCATTGAAGAAACGCGGTATGACTGGAGAAGAAATGCGACGCCTTATGTGGGGACGTGCTTCTATTACAAGTCCAACTAAGGTAGCTAAAAAGAAAAAATTGGATCCATATAATGTTTATAACGAAACAAATAGTGCTATTGGTGCTGCTATGGATGTCATGACTTTTACTCAAGATATTTTAATATCACCAGATTTACCAAATGAACCGATAATTGACCAAAAGAAAAAGAAAAAAACAACTACCGTTGTAAGTACTGCAAAACCGACTACAAAAATAGATCCAGCGGCCAGCGTTTCAAATATTGATGATCCATTACGAGAACTAGTGTTAATTTCGGAAACTCTACCACCAGACGATGCAAATGTTCAAAAATTAGCTGCTCAAGCATCAACGATGAGTGATGCACAGGATTCCAACCAGGCAACAACATCAGGACAAATAAAATCTCATTTAAACGTTCCAAAACCAACAGATAATGTGGCCACATCTTTATCTTTACCAAAGAGTGGTCAAGAAATTACAAGTTTTCAGGAAATGTTTGCAGCTCCAACGTTAGATCCCGAAAAGGAAAGAGAATTCTATCGTAAACTTGAAGCTCTTGATGATACCGAAGATAGTGATGGTTTTATTGAGAGACCAGTCCTAGGAAAAATCTCTCTAATACGACGAGCAAAATCTGCTGTATCAAAAACTTCAGCTAAAAGAAATTTAAATGACGAACGTTTTCCCTTATTCAACTTTGCTTGGGAACCACAAGTAATTTTTAAATTTTTTAATATAAAAATAAAACAATCTGATACTAAAATTGAAAAATAATAATTTAAGAATCACCATCCTATTACGAATGGGATTAGAAATGCAGGATTTGGAGATAATAACAGTGATGAAATTATACAAATTGAAACTGAAGCTGCTGAAGAAGTTGAAAATGAATCGAAACCAACAAGAAGAGATGATGAACCAACTGTTGAGGAAGTGAAACAAAAGATGGCAGAATTTCATCTGAGAAGACGACCAGATTTAGAAAGAGAAGAAAGACAAAAACGAGAAAAAAGTGGAAAAAATAGGAGATATAAGAATAAGTTAAAAAATACAAAATATTTCCATACCTCTTCCAGACTTATTTTTGAAAATTTATTTTATATTTTTTTTTCTTTTAGAATATCACCTGACAATACAGTGGATGATTCTAAACCAAAATCAAGTCGTCATCGTTCAGCTCCATTAAAATATACTTCACAAAGATCCCAAAGAGTATGTGAAGATTCGCCACCTGACCCTTTGGAACCATGGAGTACAAGAGAATTGCAAAATATAAATCAAATATTAAATTCACAAAAATCCGAACGATCAGATGTTTAAAATCTACACATCCTTTTCTTAAATTTGAATCACTTAAAAACACAAAGTTAATATTTGTTTCGTTAATTCCCTGTTTTACACCAGTCAACATGTTTAAAGCGTTATATTTTATATTTTATCCTATAAGCTAAATGAGACAATTGGCTTCATTTTCTCTTTTTACCTTCTTAAGAAGGTGTAAAATGAAAAGTAAAGTTTTCAGCATGTTGATCATCGTAAAACGCTGGAATTGTTGAAAATGCAATAAAAAAAAGTTTTCACCAATTTATTTCTTTCTGTAAACTTATAAATATTAATCCGGCTGGTAGGGTTAAATAATACATATTTTTAATATTGATATCACCATTTAATTATTTCAGCGACATAAATAATAAATTTTTTGAGTTTATTCTTGAAGCGCTTTATTGTAGAATACCGGCTAACATGCCTTTATTACTTTATGAACATGTGTTATTATAGTAAACTGGTAAAAATATATAAAAAATATTAAAAAAAAAAACCAAAAAAATGTGAGAGTTTCTATATTGAGTATTCCTATATACTCAATATACAATATATTGAATTTCTCCTTATACAAGAGTAAGTTTGTGAAAAGAAATTGTTATCAATTCATAACAGGTGAACAATTTTCATTCAATTAAAATTTACTAGATGCAATTTTTTTTTCAATCAGTCTAAAAATTATTAGTTACAATTCTTGAATTATTAAAAACTGAACATGATCTCTCAAGTAATTAAAGTTTTCCATTTTAATCAAACAACTTTTAAACTTAACATTTCCAACATTTTTGAACATGGAAAGGTCTATTTGCCTATCTATATACATATAAAACTATTATTATACAAAATATGATTAACGAATGTTGAAAAGTTCAAATAGATTAGAAAAGGGAACAAAAAATTCTCAAGAATCTCAAGTGACAGAAAATGTTGGCAGAAGTCAAGTTAATTAAAAATTTAGTACGTGATATAATTTTTATCACAACATTTATTTATTACTAAAGTTACAAAAGGATAATACGTTCTCCTACGTATTTCGAAAACTATATATTTTTTTAAATTTTACTTGTACTGTTAAAATTCTTTTGAAATTTTGTAGTTTTTGTAAAGAAAAATTGTATTTTTTTTTGTAAATGAACTTTAGGTTTATAATCAAATGGAAAATAATTGGGTTTCCTGTGAAAAATAGTAATGAATGCTGTACAATTTGTTAGTTTAGTATACCAACACCATATTATAATAAATAAATTTACAGACTAGATGAATTTCAATTCAGTAGTAGCAAGAGCTGAAAAAGTGATTTAAAATTTTATAAGAAGTGAGTTTACCTTACTACTTAAGGTTTTAAAAGAACTCAAAGCACTCTGTAAAACATGTTTTTATTTTTGGTAAAACTAGAATGAGCCTGCTTTTGTGGGGTTTCTTATTTTGAATTGCTTTAGATTTTTTTATACTGCTTATCACATTTTTTAATAACTAAAATTCGATATCAAAATTACGAGACTATTTATGAAAACTATGTGCGTTTTAGTTTATATATTGTGGAAAATTTATGAATATAATTAAGGAAATACAACAATCTGATCGTTTTTTTTACAATTATTTTTCGTTTGTCCACCAATTTGAGTAGAATCTTTTTATTCAAAGTACGTTCATGGTTTTCATATAAAATATAATTAGGATTTTTGTTATACGTACATATATGTTTTCGTGAAATCAAATGATCTATAAAAATTTAATGGTATTTGGTTATTATTATATTGGTTATTTTTATTTTTTAGTTTCCAAATATTTTGCAAATAATTTTGCGGTTAGTCAAAATACAATTAGGTTTTTAAGGTTGAATAGTTTTCATAATTAACGAAAATTATTATTAAAAATATGTTTTGACAAAAAAAAATATTGAAATTATTGTAATTCAGTGATTAACGAATAAGATTCACTAACGTACAGGCAATTAACTACAATTAGATGTGAGAATTCAGATTTTAAATATGAAAATCCCTTTACATGAAGCTCTTTAAGTTTTGTACTCCAAATTGAAGAGAAAAATCCCTTAGTTATTTGGTATAGATAACTTACAAACCCTATATAAAGACTTATAGTTTCTCTAGTAATAGTTTGGATAGGCGAATAGGATTTTTATGCCGATAAAATTTAGTCGTCTTGATAAGATAAGCCATACAACTTCAAAAAAACAAAAATTAAATTAGATTATAAATTTTATATTGTTTAAATTCTAATAATCGATTGCAAACCAGAAATGGGGATTGACTGAACTTCCCTATGAGTTTTCATATTTAAATATTATCATATTTAAATATTGTCATATGAGTATCACATAGTGGATGGAGCCAACTCTAATTTTAAAATTACACACTAATTTACTAAGTGAACTTTCTTTTCACTAATAAAAAAAACTAGAAATGTGGTTGTACTTAGTACTAAGTATGGTTGTTTTAATTAAAAATTATTGTAAAATGAAAAAAAATATAAATCTTTGAATTTATTTAGTTCACCTTTAAATTATTATTCTTAGGATATAGGTAAGTAACTTTAAGTTAAATTTGTAATGCTTGTATTGACCTGATCATATTTTGATATCGTTTAATGATAATCTTTTTCATTTTTTTTTTATAGAATTCTAATTTTGTATGAAAATTTCAAGGAAATTTGGAAAACATGATGACTCCATTTTTGAGCAGTTTTAGTTAAAAAGAAATTGAAGAAAAATTGTCAAATGTTGTATATTGACTGGGAGACTTCGAAAATACATATTCGAAATTTTTTTCAGAAATTTTCAATTTTCCATCCTAACAAATTATAATTTTGGGAATAACGGGGTCTATGAGAATTTTCATTCACAGTTCTAATTTTCGTTAACATTTTATGTTATCTAAATAATAAAATTTCAATAATAAAATTTATTTAGTGATTTTATCGCCTTACTGAATTTTTCATACAATTTTATTACTCACAATAATTACTTACCTACTTATATTGTTCTATTAATTTAACACATTAAAAATTTTAGATATTACAGTTTCTTACACAATGAAATACTTAGTACAACTAATTCTGGCTTAAGGACGTACATACTCGTATATGTAGTAATAAATTTATTTTTTTTTTGGTTTTAAATCAATTATTGGAATCATGTGGACTGTACAATATACATATGTATGTGTAAACATGAACATTTTAAAGTTTCTATTTTTCCAATAAAAAACAACAAGATAGATGTCTTCTATCTTGAAAAAAAGTACGAAAGATAAAATTATGGCTATTCAATAAGAATGAAATATGTTAGATTTTTTTTTTTACTATTTTTCAAGGTAGAAAGTGGAGTTTTTTCATATTTAGCAAGAACTTAAGGGAAGAACATACTAATATTTACCGACCTTTGGGATAGGTATAGATAAATGTAAATATATGTACATATGTAGATAAACTGTCATAATATGTGTGTCGATTCTATTTTATTATCATTGTCAAAAAATTCAAATTTATTATTTAAATTTTAGAAATAAAATAAAATGCATTTTTTATGGTGACGTTAAAATTTATGTCGACCTTCAATAATAAAATTAATTTAAATTTTTATTTGAATTTGCACACATACATTTATGTCTAAAGATTTTAAAATTTTTTGAAATTTTAAAAATCTTAAACTAATAAAATATTTTTCAAATATAAAATAATTATTTGAAATGTCATTTAAATGTCTTAAAGAATGGCGTTTTTATCTTTCCAATTTTCAATATATCAGACTCGAAGGTTTATTATGGTATTTGAACAATTTCATGATATTCATTGATAGCAATAAAACATTTCACTATTAAAGTTTTCATTGCCATTATTTGATAAAGGACGAAACAAAAAGTTATGGAATTAACTTTGGTATATAAGGGAATTAAGAATTTATGCATTTAATTTTGGAATATTAGATCAGGATTTGCTGTTTAATAATTTAAAATACAAATTCATTTTATAGAAAGTATTATGTTCCCTGATTCTTAAAAATTTACTAATACCTATAAGCGTGATTTTTTTTTGGAATAAATTTGATGTGCAAGTGCATGACTAACTCATTACATAATTCATTCATACCTGCAGACATATGTACATATGTACATACATATATTACATACATACATATATTACATTCATTACTAATTTAACATCTTTACTTGATATAACCACAGTATTCGCGAAATAGAGTATTAGTACTATATATAGAAAATGTAAAATGGCTAATTACAAAATCAGCTTTTCGTATGTATTCATAATTTGTAAGCCTGAATTTTTTATTTAATAGTGAAGCATCGGAGCAAAAGAAAACGAAAAGACACTAAAAGCTCTCATAAACGACAGTCCTTTTTGATCTTTAGATCTCCTTGTTTCAACAAAAATTCACAAACAAAAGTTTTCTTTGCAATTACATATTTGAAAATGAAATGCGATCCTCTTGGGATTTGCTATTATATATGGTAAATTCTTAAACGTCAAATTTTATAAAATCTGACTTGTCTGAGTTTACGAATATTCTACTGCGTTTTTACTTTCAGTCAAAGTTTAAATTCTTAAACGTTTAAAAAAAGTCAACTAAGCGTCAAAATTGTAGATTTTTTTTTTACATGCAGACAGTCTGACGTAGTAATTCAGTAAATAAATTTGATGTATTGAGTGACTATTATTACGTTAAAATAAAATATAAAAAATATTTTTTTGTTAATTTTTAATATGTAAGTATAAAATTATTTTAAATCTAAAAAAAAATTTTTTTTTGTTTTGATGTTTGCAAATGATCAAAAAAATTCAAAGTCAATTACGGGTAAAAAGTTTACTACATTTCTGTCCGTAAAAGTTTTATACGTCAGACAGTTTGAAGACTAAGAACAAAATTTTGACGTTAAAGAATTTGCGGTTAGTTTAATAATTAGAAAGTGTTTCCTCAAAAAGACGTTCTAATAGTGAAAATTTGTATTTATTTTCGAAAATTTATGTAAACTTTTGGTAATAACACTTGAATTAAGTTATTTTTAGTGCAGCATAATTAAAATGTATAATTAAATTCATTATTTTTATTCTTATTACAAAAAAATATACGGAAAATTTTAATCTAATAAATTAATTACATAATAAACATACATAATAATATTATTAAATGTGATACAAAAATATTCTATTCTATTATATTTTAAATTAATTATTATTTTGTAAAATTTTTAAGCATATTTAAAAATGCGTAGTGTCTGTATTTGTATATACTTCTATAATAAAAATTTATACAACTACCCTTTGAACATACGGATAACTTACTGATGTAGTAAAAAAATAATTTCCTGGTATTCTTTCTGAATGTATACCAAAGCGGCTATTACTTTTAAATAAACATAAACCAAAAATATATGCCTGATAACTGGAACAGTGCCATCCATTGAAAGGATATTCTGGATTCATAGAGATTTCAAAGAATTTTACAGCCATTGTATGACTACACCCAACTGGATCTAAAAAAAAAACAAATACATATGTAAGTAAAATTTATTTTACAAATGTGTATGCATATATACATACAGTAACTTATAATATACAAATATATGATGTAAATATTAAATATTAAATGGGAACGTTAGACAATGTTATATTGCGTTTACAAAATATTATTTATAACATAAAAATTATAATATTTAATTAAGCTGTGGAAAAATGGTGCAGACCATGTACTTATTAAAATTTAATTATTATTATTTTATTCTATTGTAATAATTTTATGATGTTTTAAATTTATTAAAGTGTGTATTTGCAATACAATAAATATTATGGATACAATAAATATTATGGAAATAATCAGATTTTGCAAAGATTTGGGTCATATTTCTTTACTTGAGCATATACTATGCATAACATAAGAACATATAGAAGTAGAAAATAAATTGCAGATAATTTTTAAAATATCACAAACTAAAAGTGTTAAAGATCCTTTGAGGGCATTTTTCAAAAGTTCTGTGTGATAAAAAGTGTAAAAGGTTATATAAAACTTTCAATGTAGAAAGATACCCTTAAAGAAATCATACGCAAATTTGTATGAGGAGTGCTTCATAAATTTCACGAATGCTAGTGATATAAAAAGTGATCGGCTTTTGTAATAGAAGATAAGTAAAGTAAGAGAATAGAAAAGATTTATTTGAATATTAAGTGTGTTTTAACCATTGAGGCTCTTCTTGTTTTAAAGATAGTGTAAGCGAAAAAGGAAATGATTGCGCATAAAGGTGCCTCAAATATGAATAGTATTTGTAGTATGAATAGCATTTGTATAACAGAAGTTAATAATTGTCTCATTGCACAAATCCTATTTAAAAGAAAACAATATTCATTGGCCAAACTAAATTGAAGTAAAATGGAGAGTAATTTTAAAAAGTTTCTCGGCGTCTAGCCCCACTCAGACAAACAGTAGCAGTATTGTAATTAAGTATTTAATTTGTTATAATTAAAAAAATCTTTAAATATTTCAGTTGAAAAATCGAATTATTCATTTATTCTGTTGATTAATTTTTTATTCAATAAAAATTTAACATTATACAAATTATTATACGGATTAGACATACGGAGCGGCGTATGTATTATATAATATGAAAGTAAAAGAGAATTTTTTTGAGAAAAGAAGAGAAAAAAACAGAAAAATTTTAAAGCATATGTTTTTGTTGTTATTTTCAATTTTTTTTTACATAACAGTAACTAGTTACAACACTGCACTTTGTATGATAACTACATAGCAGTTAAGCTTCCTGTATATTAAAAAACTTTCTTTCATATGTAAACAATAAGTAAATATATAAAATTAATATATAATACAAAATTTGTAAATAGTTTGCATCACAGATGTGTCAATATTAATTAAGTTGGATCTTTTGAATTATTCAAGGTTGAAAAATATAGGTTTTTTGTGTATGTCTTTTGGGATTAAACCATTATAACTTCAAATTTTGTCAATAGAAAATAAATTTCTTTTTCTATTTAAAAAGAATATTCGATTTTGGACTATTCAATTATTTCAATAATTAATAAATATTAAACATAGGCACGTATTTGAACGAATTATTTAAAGAATTGAAATTTAATATAACACATAAAATTAAAATATTGGAATTTTTTGTATACAAGAATAAATTCTACACAATTTTTAGTTTTGCAGAGACGCACATACACACCATTCCATTTTCCATTTAAAATTTAAATATTATTTAAATTCTTACTTGTTTTTGGTTCATCGGTAAATTTTGTAAAAACACAATTTGTTTGCGGTGATACACCACCATTTGGATAAAAATCAGCATGACCACATTTTAATGATGTACCAAGTGTACCACCAGCTGTATGTATTACTTGTACAAATTTTGCATCACTTTTATCTAAACGATAATCAGTTCCAACATCTGATGGTAATGTAAATAATGGTCCAGCTGGATCTAAACCAATTATTTCATTTAAACTTCCATTTAATAGTTTACCAGCAAAACCGGCAGCATGTGCACCCAATGAATAACCAACTAATGTTATATCATTTGGTACAAAACCATATGGTCTTAATTTTATTATTAAATCGGATATAGTTAATCCAACATCAAAAATACTTAACATAGAACGTTTATAATTTCCATTAGCCATTGTACCCCAATCAACTGTACAAACATTAATTTTTTGATATCTAACCCATTCTATATAATATGTAATATTTAAAATAATACTAGTATTATAATTTAATTTTAATTAAAATTATTTTAATAATACCTTTTTGTAAATTTGTTAAATAATCACTTTCACCATCATCTTGCCAACCATGCAAAATAAATGCTAATGGAAAATTTGAATTTAATAATTGAAATGAATCCGGTTGTGATAAACTTATATCAAATGGTTGATTTTTATAACTATATATAAAATTATATAGAAAAAAAGAAAAATTCTTTATTATTATTAAAAAATTTATTTTATAATTAAAAATATAACGTACGTATTTTTACAAAGAAAATTTATTTCTGGTCGAACTCTAGCTAAATCCACTTGAACATTAAGTAAAGTCTCTTGAAAAACTTTAAAAATTTGTAAAAATTCTTTCCATTGATAAAAATATGATCGAAACGGTGCGGTTAATGCAAATATTTCTAATAAATACCCGATATTCATTTTTTCAATAATAAAATTTTTAAAATAATTTTTTACAAGTATTTTGTAGTTGTTACCGTTTCAAATAATTTTTTAATACTAAATTTTTCAAATTATTTATTATTACATTATTATTGAATATGGATGTAGAAATATTCGGATTATTTTAAATATATTTTGTTGACACAAGTGAATTAAAATGCATTTAATTTGGCCATGATTACAATATATGAAATGTTAAATTTAAAGAAGAGTAAGAAGAAATTTTACGATAAAGAGAATTATTAAAAGAGAAAATACATTAGTAATTTTAATTTGCTGTAATATGTTTGCTAAGAAGAGATGCACAACATTTGATGTCATTATACCATTTATGTTTATTTGAACAGAGGGGCATGAATTATTGTGAATTGTTTTCAAAAATTTTATTCTTATTACATAACAATATCAATATCATCATTCATTAATATTGTGCGTGTGTCTAATGAATAAAATTAATAGAAATATTATTGAATAGAAAAGCATGTTATGTTCTCAATCGTACACAAATTATAGTACGTTGCATAATTTCCTGTTGAATAAACCTGGTCCTATTGAATAATATAAAAATAGTATCTAAATTGTATTTAAATATTTTAAATTTCGTTCAAGTCTAATTATAAGAAGTTGATTGGAGAAATTTTATTTTAAAAAACTTATTCATATTTTTGAATATATGTATATCTTCATATATATTATTATGTTATTACATACATATCATATAAACGGATTAAAGTATCTAAAAAGTATCTCTACATTAAATTATAAATTGCGTGGCTCGTATATGTATAACCATTATTTGCTTTTAAACATGCGACATATCGTATTTGTCTTTGCATATCAATTATGTCGTAAATAATATCGTTTACGTATATATATGCATATACTTATATGTGTATGTATCCAATTATATGCACTCCTGTTCACCTTAATTGTATATTAATTGAAAATTATATAATATTACATTCTATGTATATGTTCATACATGTGTATATTTCATTTCCTTTCAAAAGAACTTTTAAAAGTATAGTATCATTATTAACCGCTACTTAATAACTTAAAAAGTTGTTATAATTAAAGGAACGTATATATAAGGAACTCACCTGTCGTTGAATTAATTAAATTGTGACAAATTATCATAAAAATATTGTGCTTTATTAATTTCATGAAAGCAATACTTTTATGTATGACATTAAAATAAAGTTTATATGTTAATATGAAATGTCTTTATTGACTGTATAATAATTAGTATACAATATAATTGAATATCTGCAATATTTACGTAATTATGTATATTCAATGCATAATTATGTAATATTTTTTGATTGCATATTATATGTATATTGTATTTAACAAGGAATAATTTAAACTTGATATAAAAGAGTTTATTATAAAATTATGATTACTATAATTGTGACACTGTGAAGAAGAAAATTAAGGAACGATAGTATAATTGTATGCATAAATTTTTGACCAGTGGCGAGCATTATCATTACTGTAAGAATCTCATAATTTAAAAAGAAGGGATGTAATAGATTCTAGTATGGATATAAGAACGTTCTTATCTAAAAGTTATTATAATAGGCTAAAATAAAGCTAAAAATTAAAATATAACACTTCGTTTAGTATATTTAGTAAATATCGCATATATCTAACTATTTTGTTTGGAAGTTGTCAATGTAATACGGATCTATTAACTTAAATTATTGTAAATTAAATAATTAAATGAAACATATGTGTTATATTGTGTAATTCGAGTACCTCGTTGAACCGACGACCACCTAACTTATATTAAATAAAGTAACCATTTATTTAGACCTATGTATTTGCACAAAAAAAAACAACTCTAACACAATTGAAATATTTTTACATTTATATTACAATTGAAGACACAAACTTTGCTTTAAAATTAATTTATTTGGTTTTACCTTATATATATATGCATACATATACATACTAACACTCTTATTACGTTTTAAAAAGCCTTTCAAAATCCTTTTCGTTTTTTTTTCTTTTCAAATGTTATTAATTCGTTTCACAAATCTTTCATTTAGATTTCCGAATAAAAGAGTTTATATAAAGAAAGCAAAAGTGTATTACCTAAAGTGAATTACCTAAACATAACGTACATACAATAAATGTGCTTTACAAACGTCTGTAAAGGAAAAAACTGAGCTAAAATTCGATCCTTTATATTATATAACAGTTTCTTATTGATATTTTCTTTAAAGACCGCCACCATTCATTGATTCTCAACGTAGGTATAATAATTTAGAAAATAAAAAAGAAAAAATAACCAAAACATACTTACACCTTATTTTTATGCATTGAACAACTTTTAATATGAACGCGAATATATTAATATCAGTAACACATGGCTGTTTATCAGACATGATACCAATTTCAAAATTTTATATTTCTGTGTACTTCTTATAATACTTTATACAGACTTGTATTAATGTCGTACATGTAAATATATATGTACTATATATATTTAAATACATACATATATTACAATATTGAGTTCAATAACTAAAAAATTTTTCTTATTTTGGTTTGATTTTTGAGGGAGAAAATTCGTATACGTTTAGATTTTTAAAAATTATAATTTCCTTATTTATTGGGTAAGAATGTCTGCCCGAATAGTACAATTTTTTTTTATATTTTTAATATGTTATTCAATTATATATTCAACTTCAATATTTCTTTGAATAATTTTTAACATTATTCGGCTAATATCACACTAATATGTCAAAATAGTTGCATACGATTAGGAGGAGAACAAAATTAAAAGAAACCGCAACAAATTGATGAATTTAGTAAGCTTACCTAGTGTCATAAAAAATATAATAAACAATTAATATAAAAAATTTGAAATTACCGATAATTCTGGCGGCTCTTTTGTAGTTATAATGTTTGACTATGCTGTTTCACAGAGAGAAAGAAAATACAATTTTCCTGCTTTTGGCGAATTAAAAAAAAGGTGTATTTTCGAAAGGCGTAAATTAGAATGTTTCAACTGATACAAACAAGTTCAATAGTACAAACAAGTACACAGGAGTAGATAAGCGATAGTGAGTGTATTAAATTCATTCCATTGTCATTTTGCAAATAGAATAGATTTTCGAAAATTATGTATATTGCAAAACAATTTAATGCGACTGTTCTAAAATTTTAAAATTATTCTTCAGAAATTGGAGATTTTTTCGTTCTGATTGGAAAAGCATTGAAAGCCGATCGAGACACCGTTTCCGCGTGTACATTCTAATACTCCGACTTGTGTGACTTTGATATAACAGAATTTTTCAAAGTTGATTAAAGAGAAATGTGCTGTTTTTATATACTATTTAGAATCTTTTACTTATTTTTCGGAAATCATGTATGAATTAAATTGTATAATTCTATATTATATTTTTGTTATCGATTCTTGATTTTTTATTTTTGTTTTGTCAGCTTTTCTTTAAGGCACTACACTCTTTTCTTTAAATTATTATTAAATAAAATAAATTTTTATAGGCAGTACAGAAAAAATCATTTTCCATTTATTGTGTAGTAAAATTTAGTTTGCTTTAAATCATGATTTGGTCACCGAATTTTTGTTGCACTTGTTCTCGTTCACAAAAGTTTTATTTTTGATTTACAACGAATAAAAACGTTTTTTTAGCTTGTTGGCTCAGGTCTTAAGTATTTTAATTATTGTACGCAAGAATATTTATAAAATCAAATTTTTTAGAATTCAATACCCAAAAGTAGCCGGTCATTAAATATTTTTAAAGTATTTTGTAGTCTCTCAATTCTGTAATGTGTTGAGAGCTAACAATTTAAACTTTACATGTATATTTTTCTTTTTTTTTTATTTCATTTTTAAAGAATATAGTAAGTTATCAAAAATATTGTATACAATGTCTGAATATTCTATTAGAATACATAAAGACATGTAATATTGTAACAACAACAGTAGTAAAAAATTTAAAAATCTAGATAAAAGAATAAAAAAATCAACTTATTTTTAACACGTTTATTGGTGTTTATACAATCATACAAAAACTCTTTACATTCGATTCGACTATGTGTGTGCCAACATGTAGTGATGTATGTACAGATTTTACACTGTACATATGTATATGTACAGATTATGTGTACACGTATTATTGTACATTTTTTTTTTATTAATAGGATAATGTCATATTCTATAGACTGTAAAGATAAGGTGTATCATTTTAAATTTTTTTTGGAAAATTATTTTTCTCTAATATTAATTTCAATTTCCAGATTAAGTTTATTAATTTCTAGTCAATTATTGAGGAAACTTAGATATTTAATTATCTATCGTGTTTAAAAAATATAGGACTTTTTTAGCATTTCATAGCGTTTACTTTGATGTGTTTTATTAAAGTGTTACCAAGCTTCTTTGTTTGATATTTTATTGTTGAAATAAAAAATATTTAATGTAATTCACAAGTGTAGTTTGAATATATGCCGTCGATGCTTCCGAGAATATGCTAATATAATTGGATTCAAAAGGCTTGATCAACTCGGTTACCTACTTGGAATATCTAAAATACTGTGTAGGTGGCTGCAAGTGTATATCAAAAAAAGCTTTAGCATATTGAAAGTTTCGTGGCTATTGTGATTTTTTTTTTGGTAAATGTCGCATAAAGTCTTACTGGAAGAAATTGTTTAATTTTTAATTAATTGGCCGCAATTAATAATTCCCCATCAATAAAGTCCGACTTATCATGCTTTTGCAAATTACCTGCTGATTTATACTTAATTTAGTAAATTTGATCATGATCAGTTTTTAACATTTGTTCTTAAATTTTAAGAACATTTTAAGAATATTCCACAAAATGTCAATTGACATTTTTGAAGTCCCAATAAAACGAAAAAAATTAAAATCAAATTGATAATTATGAAAAATTTGAATTTTAATGCAAGAAAACGGCAGAAACGAAAATATAACAAATATGGGGCAATTATTTTTAAAGAAAACCTTAAATGACACCCACAGTAAATAAAATGGCTATCAAATGAGTTTTTTTATTTTGAAAATTTTATGAATTCTAAAATCATAAAAAAGTAAAAATTTAAAAAAAATCTACCCAAAAAAAACAAAATTCCATTTTCTTTAACAAAGCAGATGTATGGTATAATAAGCATACACACACACATTATACACATACAAAATATTATATACAAAGCTAAAAATAAGGACAAGTAATAAAATTATAAAAAAAAATGAAAACCAAAATAAATAAAAATAAAAAGTTTTGCGAAAATTTCCTTAAAATTCTTTAAACTGTAAGAGAAAAATTTTCTTAAAAAAACTTAAAAGTTTTCAATATTTAAAAATTAAAAAAAAATTAAATATAGAAAATTAATAGTTTTAATGTTAAGAAAATTATAGGATTTTCATTTTTGCAAGAAAAGGAAAAAGGCTCAAGCATACGAGTTTTAATGTTAATAATAACAAGATCCAAGACACAATAAATTAGATTTTTTTGTCTAGTATTGAAATATCAAGCACAATGAAAGCTTTTTTTTTCCAAATGATGCACGAAGTAATTGACTTGATTGATAAGCAAATTAGAGCAATAATAAATTTTTATGATTTCGTATAATTAATCACATTTTATGCATCTTGCAAAGTTCATTGATAATAAATATGAGTCTTTAATATATTATAAGTGCCCTTGATATAATTTTTAATTTGTGTTAGATTTGATTAGAATTTTACGAGTAGAATAGTAATTTAGTTGTGAGTTTCATTACGCATCGCAACTATCTGTTCTATATATGCAAAATAATTCGGTTTATTTAATACAATTAAACTATAATGTTTCAATAGCATAAAATTGCAATTTTTGGTATTAAAGTTGCTACTGCACCACATGAAAATTACGCTAAAAATTTAATTTGTTTAAAAAAATCATTTTGTAGTACACATTTAAGTATTTTAGATTTTCATAGTATTAAAATCGAAAATTCAAAAATATAATACAATAAATTTAAATTTAAATCTTAGAATGTTTTATATATTCAGTTCTTTATAATATTAAAGTTAGTCATTAGGGTAAAATTAATTTTAAGTGAAAAATGTGTAAATTCCATTTTAAAACTTAATTAATTGACTTTAAATAGTATATTATTCGATTATAAAAGTTTTAGTGTTGATAGGGTTTTAGACTTTACTTATATACTGTATGAGGAAATAAACATTTCTTTTTTTTGCTTTTTGTTTGCAAAATTTATTTATAGTTTTGTGTATAAAGACAAGTTTATGCGTATAGAAACATTCAAATGATCTTTTGTGAACTTTAAACTTTAATTTCATTAGTTTTCTGAAAAAAAAAATTTAACATGTTCTTTAGAAGATGTTTTAGAATAAAATTTTTAAATTTTGATTTAAAATTTTCTTAAATTTTGTTTGAAAAGAAAAAAAAAATTTGGGTAGGTTATTTTTATATTTTAATTTATTTTCATTACGACATATAGAGAGTGAAAGTTAGATAATCTAATTTATTTTATGTTTAAAAAATTAGAAAAAAGTTAAAAACTCTAAATAGGTATAAGAACATAAGAGTTCCAGATGTATGCATTTGATAGCGATATTGTAACAGTTAAAAAATTTCGTATAAAATAATGAAATTCATTCATCACGATCAATATTGTGCTATAGATTTGTGCTTAACGATAGCGCCTGCGATAGTTTTTGATATAATAGCATAAAGTTAGAGATAAATTTCTTCACATTAAAAAATATGGTTAATTATTTATTTTAGCTGCACTGATTAGCCAATAAGTTCGTTTATTACATTAATACTTGTTTTAATTTATGTTCACGTCCTAAAAGTATGCAAAAATTGTGGAATATTTTGATATGCCATGTACATATTATAATTTGGATGTTATTTTTCTATCGCATTATTAACATAAGAGCAAACTAACTATTGTAGCCGGAGTGGGGTGTATAACTGACATATTCTTATTTGTAAGTAAAATAGATGTACATAAATAAATAAATAATTTCGCATATTGAGTGGTAGAAAAAAACTAACAAACTATTTCAGGTGAGATTTTAGTCTGCTGGTCTGTGTTTCCTTCATTTGATTTCAGTTTGCAACCGGAACTATAGCTGACGAGTATTTAAGGGAATTCGGATTATATGAATCTCTGCGAAAATTTACATTGTTTTACAGGTATAAGCTTAATTTCCGCCCTTAAAATTTAAAAGCAAAAAGAATATTTTCATAATCTTGTACAACACTTTTGTTAAACTAGACAATATACATACATAGGAGATTTTTAAGGCGAATACAGTTTTGCAAATATTTTATCGTTTTAAAAGCTTGCGTTTTTTAATGAAAATGTTCTTAACAATTTGACATGATCCGAATTCATGAACGACATTAATTCTTCTTTATTTATTTATTTAATTTTGTTTAAATTTATTCTGTTTTGCAGTTTTAAATTTGCTTAACTTTTGAATTTTTTTTTTGAATCCAATGCTCTTAGCGTAATGTTGTGAATTAGTATAGAATTTTATTTTTTATTTATACTTTGTGTAATTTATATTGAACTCTTCATAATCGGCTTTAAAATGTAAAGAAACTTCTTCATTTTATTGTAAAGTAAGTCATAACTATGTGGGTACGTGTATGTGTTTAAAATTTGACATACAATTTAGATTAGAAATTTGGCAGGTGAAATCATTGACATTTCGGATGACATTTTTTTTTCTTCTTTTTTTGAGACATATTTGAACTATAATAACAAAAAAAAAATTTTTTAAAAGCGTATTAAATTTATTTTAGTGTGAAAATTTGAAAAAAAATAATTTTACTTTCTTTGTTTATGGAAAACTTTTTAAAAAGTAAGTAAATTCTTTAAAAAAAATTAAATAAAAAAAAAGAATCGTTTAAGAAAGTTTTTTATATTGTGACAACATTAAAATATAACAGAAATTGAAGAGAAAAAAAATATTGAAAACTTGTGAGAAAATCTTTTTTTTTTTCTATTTGTTTTTTTTTTCTTTTTTACACCAAATATTTAATTTTTATTTTTGAAAACTTTCACGCATAATGTGATTTTTAAGTATTTTAAGTATTTCACTTAAAAAAAGTTTGTGCTTATTTTATCATTCATTCAGTGAACATGCATTGTAAAAGAAAAAATATTTAATAAATTTATTGTTAAAATATTTTTATTGAAAAAACAAAATTATATTTTTAGTATTCTGAAGTTTTAAAAACAAAGTTTCATACATTGACCACAAACAAGTTTTAAATTTACTAAAGACAAAATAAAAATACAATGTAATGAGAAGAGCTGTGAACTGTTATGGATGCTATCTATGTAAATAGGATGACAGAACAGCATATAGTCATTTTAATAAGAGTATACAAAGACGCAGTCATATTCTTTCTTGTACAAAATACAACTGATGTTGATTGCGGAATAGTATGAATGATATGTATAAGAAATAAGGTTCTTCATTGTACATAATTTTGGTAAATTATATATCATTTGGAATAAGCGAAAATATGGCTATTAATTGTCATATTTAAGGTTCCGAACTTTGAAACCAATGATATAAAAAATAATATTGTTATATTATAATAGCAAAAATTTCATGAAGAAGAAAAATCTTGCCTTATATTAGTAAAAATGTATTGAAATATTAAAGTGCATAAAAATTTTCGAATAATACAAATTTAGTAAAATTTGTAGAGTAAAATTCTAATTATATAGATTAAGTATGTACATGACATTAATTTGAAAATAAAAATATTAAATTAGATTTATTAAATTAGTGAAAATTTCTTACAGGGAGCTATATTGGAATTATTATTATTATTAATTATAGGCTTACATTGCTTACTTTACTGTAATATTTTCGGGAATAATTAATGTATTTGTTGATTTGAAAATTTTGTACCATAAGCTAAACAAAAAATACCTAAATATATAGGTACAGCTATTTTAACAATTAAGTAAGAACTATATAAAACTACTTTTGCAATGAACTATATAACTAAATCCAATAGCATTAAATTAGGATTTTCTTAGAGAAATAAATAATCAGGAAAACCGTAAAAAACATATTTTGTTACAATGACCTTTTTCATTCCTCATGTCATTTATATGGTTTCTAACATTCTTATGTACATGCCTATATTCCTTAAATGATTAAGGGAAATCCATTAAAAGCATTTTTCATTTTGACATTTTAATTGATTTCAAATTTAGTTTTTTATTTAATATTATTAAAATAATGATATTAACAATTTAATAGTGAATTTTCTTGGTTCTCATGGTTCCATTTTCCTTTATATAAATAATGAAAGTCATTGATTTTATAGTAAAATTAAAAGGCGGAAAATTAATTAGAAGAACTTAATATTTTTTCAATTTGATTTGTTTTCGATCATTGCTATCAAAGTTAATTTTTTTTTGGGTGGATTATAATTTTTTTAATTGTTGAAAAAGAAAATTAAATGTCCATTCACAAACATTTCTTTTTTTTGTTTAATTCAAACAAATACCATTGATATACAAAATTTATTTATTATATTTTAAAAATTTATTATTATTTCACAAAACTTAATTAAAAAAAAAAAATATATGTAAGATATTGTCATTCACTTATTAGCCATGATGACCATGGAATTTTGAAGGATAGTAGGTTTTCTTATCATAAGTTGGTCTCTGTTCAGGACAAGTACATATACCTGGTTCACCTTTCGGTCCAGCTGGCCCTGGAGGTCCTACCGGCCCTCTACGTCCTATATAAATAAATTACATACATAATTTTGTTATTTTTCATAAAATTACGAAAAAAAAAACATTCACAAATTAAAATATTTGATTTTGTAACAAACATTACCATCGTTTCCGGGTTCTCCTTCTGTACCAGGTTCACCTTTGGCTCCTTTATCACCCATTGGACAAGGATTTTCACAAGTTACCTCACATTTTGAACATATCCCACAAGAAGTGGGAAGATGACTTTCTGATAAATTAATTAGACTTATAACTGTATAAAATATTCAAAAATAAAATTAATATTTAATTGCATAAAATTTTACATAATTATTATAATATTATTACGTAATATTAAAAAAACACATGTAGAAAATAATCGCTTCATTTTTTTAGCTCTTAAATGTCGGAAATTCAAACAATTATTGGAAATTATTTAATGTTTTATTCTTTTTATATACAAGTAAATATGTTTTAAATTAGATAGACCATAATTGCATTCATTATAAGCGGTACCTTCATATTGTATTAATTTATTGATTGAGTGATATTTTGTGGTATAAAGAGTTTTATTTAGTCGGAAAAATGAATATGTATGTAATTTTTAAAAATATTAAAACAGTCCATTAATAATTGTTATTTGAAGAAAAAACTGTTAATTAAAACGAATATCTGAGCAGGCGCAGAAAATTTTATATCAGGGTAAAATTATGTATAAATTTACTTACCGCAATTAACATTAAAACCGCAATTACAACTTTACCGCACTTAACATTTAAGCTCTAGTTGTTCTGAATATCAAAAGTGCGGCAACGTTACCACAAAATTTTACAGTACCAAAATTTGGTTCCTTTAATTTCATTATGCGCAGCAAAAGACTAAATCTGACATTTTAATATTTAATTACAGAAAAATTAGAATTTTTTCTTGAGGTCTCCTAAATAACAAAGATAAAAGAAATCCGAAAAAGAATAATATTCGAATTTGAATTTAAAATTATCTATAATAAGCAATACATGACCTGTTTTTATTAAAAATAATTTAAAATTAATTAAAAAAAAAATGTTAAGATAAATCGATTGTTAACTATTGTTAACTATGGAGCATGCTGTGCACATAAATATACAACAATAAAAATCATAGGTACAAGTTTGTTTTACTTAAGTTAATATTTTAGGAATAAACCCCGGGAGAATTAATTATAATATTAATTTAAATTTATAAAGTAGCCAATAATATTGTTCTTCATTTATTTTTTCCTGATATGGACAGTTTTTAATAAATTAATTTTGAAACTTTTCAAAGTTCTTTAAGGAAGCTTTAGCAACGCTTATTATTAATTTATTATGAATATTATTTAGAAAATACAAAATGCAATTGGTTATGCACAAGCTGCGACCATATCAAATTTTCTTCCTTCTTTTGATGCTATTTCATTTATAAGATTTATTGTTTGTAATTTTCGCTTTATCAGAAATACATAGCTGTTCCTAATTCTATTTTTTAATAAACTAAGTGGAGCGTGAATATAAATATGTAGTACTTTAAAAATAATTTTATTATAAAATTTAAAGTAATAATCATTATGTTAAAATATGTACAGATAATTTTCAGTGTCATTTATAAAAGCTATTGAAAACTAATCTTAAGGCTAAAAAAAAAATCCGGAACTATTATTATCGACGTATTGAAAAAAACAACAAGTACAAATATTTCAATTAACCTTAGGGTATAACTACGCAATGAAAATCTGATTATAAAATCAAATCATAGTGATCCAGCTAAGCAATATTTTTAAGGTGTGTTAACTTTTATGCAGCTTGCTTTGTTACTTTTTTGAATATTTAAAATTAACTCTTAAGGTTATATATGGTAGCTACGCGAACCTATTGTTCATACGATAGTTCATAATACAGCTTAGATTTTTATATAAAATTAATTTATATAAAAATAGAATAGAATGTATGTATGTAATGAATAAACTAATGAATGGAGTGCTTAATAGAATGAACTAACCGACGATTACTTTTTATTGTAATAAGAAATGCTTTTTAAGTAATAAGAAAAATAAATAGGAACCAACTATTTCCTACTTGATGTTTAATTTATACCCCATTCTTCGATCATTTATTATTACCTTTTTAAGTTATGAAGAGGAAGAGCAAACTTTGCAATAAAAACTATGTGAGATATAACAACGCAATGAATATCGTGTTTTATTTCATTTTCAATATAATTTACTATATTAGTGATATTTTTGCATTTTAAACTGTAGAACTATTTCAAGAAGAAACTATTGTGCACGAATGATTTTTATCTTAAAAACTATTGTAAACAGAACTTCATTTTTGCTTTAAAATTTGATTAATGTTTTGTAAATTTCTGGTGCTCCAGGGTTCTAAGGGATTGTGTGCTTCATCACTTGATTGAGAATGTGATCCTGATTTATATCTGCCCTCGTTGGCAGTATTTTCCGGCGAAACTCTGTAATTGTATAACAATAAATTTTTTTTAGAAAAAACAAAATAATAATTACAATTAACTTGTTCTTATATCTTGGTCCTCTTGATTTTTTAACACGAAATTCACGTTCCAAGTCGGGTCGTCTTCTCAAATGAAATTCATTCATTTTTTGTTTTACATCATCTACTGTAACGATTTCATTCTCATCCTTGTAATCTTCAATTTGAATTACAGATTCCTGTACTGGTCGGAAAGCAACTTTTGGGGTCTTAATATAAAAACAAAATTAAATTTCTTTTTGAATTCTGAATTAATAAACTTATTTTATTTTTATACTTGTGAATCCCAAGCAAAATTAAAACTAGAAGTCAATTTATCATTGGGTGCCGACCTTTGGGCGGAACTTTTTGATATAGCAGACTTAGCTCGACGGATCAAAGATATTCTGCCGAGAGGTGGACGCTCAATAAGTGCATCACTATCATCAGTATCTTCAAGAGCTTCAAGCTTTCGGTAAAATTCTTTTTCTTTTTCAGGATCTAGAGTAGCTTCAGTAAACATGGCGTGTAAATTGTCTGTCATTTGATTTTCGGGTAAATTGGCTTGTTGAGGAGTCAGTGTTGGTGTTTCTGATTTTAAAGCAGGTGTGGTTGTAATTGTAGGTGGTGGTGTTGAAGGTAAAGGTGGCGGTGTAATTGATGGTAAGGGTTGTGGTGGTGCTAAACTTGTTGGAGTTGATGGCTGACTTGGTTGAACAGCTGGAGTAACTACTTGTATTTTTATTTCTTCGCTACCAATTAGGGATGCGCGATGAGCTAATGTTTGTATTTGGGTAGGATCTGTTTCCTCTGCTTCCTTCTCCGACATTAAAACAAGATCTCTTAAAGGGTCTCCTATAATTTCAGTAGTGCGTTTTAGTTCCCCAGTATTGGGATCAACATTAAAAGTGGTTTTAGTTGCTTGCAAATTAATTTTTGACACTTGTTTTCCTTTCTTTTTCTTCTTTTTTTCTTGTTCTGGTAGTGGTTGTTCTTTGGGGGCTTCAGGTGCTATTAAAATATCATGAGTAAATAAGCAAGCATCAGCTACGGCGTACATTGCACTATTTGTTTCATATAAAATATCTTGAGGGTCCCGAGTTTTCCTTGAACTCACTTTAGCTGGAGAAGTGTTTACTCCTGTTCCCCACATTTGTCGTCGCATTTGTTCTCCCGATAAGTTTTTCTTTTTTAATGCAGCTAATGTAACCCGTCCGACTCGTTTCCAATTATTAAGTGCACCTTTTCTCTGTTTGGCTCGAGTTTTACTTTTACTTTTTATAACCATCACACCTCTTTGTTCTTGACCATCGTCAGTTGTACCTAGCGGAATGGAATATGCTTCTAAATATTTTTGCGCATCCGCTTGTGGTACTGCTCTTTCTAACGTAACAACAATTTTTGCCCATTGTTTCATCCACTCTTTTTCAGATCTTTCAATAACCAAAGCATATGTGTTGCCCATCATAGCGATTAACATGTTCAACAGCAAAATAGGAACAAAAATTACAAATATAACAAAAACACTTTTCGCCAAATTCGGATATGAGGTTTGATTTAGTTCTGGATAATTATAATCACCTAAAGTGGTATGAAATAAAGCCATCCATGTACTTCCAAAGTTATTGAAGAGAGATTTTTCTCTTTCCGGATGCCCTTTGTACAGAAAGTAAAATGCTTGAGAAAATCCTACTAAAAGAATTGAATAAATAATGCCGAAAGTAAACATATCACCAGTTAACATTGAATAAATCATAGTAACAAATGGACCTGTCAAACGGATGGCTCCTGCAAAAAACATTAATAAAAACCAACTTCCTGGAACGGCTAAAATTAAAATAGCTTCTTCAGTTTCTACATCCCCCATGATACGGAATGGTATGCATGAAATAATTAGCAAATTTGATACCAAAAAAATTGCTTTTGCTGGCGCATTTCTCAATTGTTTTAAGAAAGCTTGAAATCCTTGATTTTTTATCTCATCACCTTGTTGAAATACAACAAAACTGATTACACCAATTAAAGTTGTCATTTCACACGCGTATCTCATTAGTTGCCGAATATCATAATCGTTATCGTTCTCTTCCTTTTCTTTTTCTGCATTAGCTGTTTCATTATTTTCGGGTCTTAAATAAACCGAACACGACAGAAAAAATAAATGTACAAACAAAATTAATAGTCTTTTAAGAAATTGTCTGTGAGCAAATGTTTTCCACTTCTCTTCAAGAAGACGCTGTATAATTCCTCCATCTAACATATCTAGATGTTCCTCTTTAGTTCCATTTAGAATAATAAAAAGAGCTGAATTCCAATCTAAATAACAAATTGGTTAAACCAAGTGGTTTACTTTCAGAATTATCAACTTACTTGTCCTTCCATCTGGCAGAAGAGTGTCTAGAGCAGCTAATGGATATCCGGAACAAGTAATATTACTATATCTCCAAAATTCTCTTGAGGAAAGTTCCAACATTTCACGAAAAACTTCTGCTCGCCCAAGTTTACATGCTAATGTTAATGGTGTTAATCCTTGTTTGTTTAATATTCCATTTTTAGCTGATGTTATGGGATGACGTAAAGCATAACCAAACATATCCTAAGTTCGACGATATAAAATTGAAATACGTATAAAATATGAATTTATTCGATTTATTATTTGAAAATTAATGGTTTATCCATATATATATATAATTTCTTACCAATTTGTCACATACGACAACCATATGTAATATCATGTTACCGAATGAATCTTGTGCATCTGGATCTGCTCCAGCATCAATTAATAAATTGTATACTGTTTCTTCAGCGCAACATGCAGCCCATGCCAACGGGTATTCACCCATATATGCCAAACCTTCATAGTCAGTATGTTTTGCTGGATGATCGCGTTGTTGATCTCTCGGCAAAAAAAAGCTCCCCAAAGCTCGCTGATGAACATTTGCTCCAGCTGCAATTAAATCAGCTACCAAATCACTGTTACTATACGCAATAGCTAAATGTAAGGCGCTTGCACCTAAATATTCTTCACCTTCTATAATATCGATTGCCATCGATGGGAATGCTTTTAATAGTATACGAGCTAATTTTGTATGTATTTTTGTATCACATATAATAAGTACATGTAATAAAGTTTCACCCAATGAGCCACGATATTGCATTTGCCAACATGCTTTATGATCGACCCATTTACCTAACGGATCATGTGATGATAATGATTTCTCAATTGGTATTATGACTGTTTTATTATCTCGATATTTCCATTTTAAAAATTCTGCTCTATTGATAATTTCACCTTTACCATTATTATAAAGAAAAACACCAAACTGTTCTCGGATTAATTGTTCAACGGCAAGAGAACCGGATATTTGAATTGCATCGATGAGATCCCCTCCTAAAAAAAGAATAATTTGAAAAGTATAAAATATTTTAATAAAAGAAAAAGATCAAATTTTACTTACCCCTTTTGTAATCAGCTAACTTATATAAAAGACATTCTGAAGATGACGATTGTGAGATTACTTGATCTAAGATTTCTCCAGGTTTTAATTGCTTTTTTTTGCGACAATATTTTTCAAATAATTTTTTTAAAAGAACCATCTTTTAATAAGCATCACGGAAAGTGGTTATGAAGTGATTATGTAACTCTTGAAGAGTTTGAGTTTTAGTGACTGTATAAGAAACTTTTCCAAACGTTCTTTCTCAAAAATTCTACTTTATTAGAATTTAAATGTTTGATCAATAAATTGAACTTTCTTAAATTCTAAAAATAAATTCTTTAACCTCTTCACATAATTAATAATATCTGCTTAAGACAAATATTTCAGATATAAATAAACTAACAAGTGGCAAATTCTGATATTATTTTAACACGACAATATAAAAGAAATGTGTCTGAAGAATAAAAATCCTTACATGTCGATATACGTACCTTACATTATATCATCTATTAACCTTTAATGTTATTATCGATTTTCGTGACAAATTATGGAAGATAAAAGTGTTGTTAAAAGTAATGTTATACGTAGAAGAGTGTGACTGCGTAAAACTCATTTGCAATTTTATTATGCAAAACCGATACGAATAACAAAAAAACAAATATCGATTGTTTTTTTTTCGAGGATTTTAGATACTTCTTTTTAAAGCTCAAGTTTTAATAAATATGAGTGTTAATTTTTCAAAACAAAATGGAGTGTTCCATTTTACTAAACATAAAAACTTTAGTCCGGTTATTTAAGTTACATGTTAAGGTTTTATGATGTTTTCGGATTTTTTATTTTCAAAACTGATCAACGCATTAGGCTTTATTTTGATAGAACCTTAGGTCACTATGTTTATCATATTTACAAAATGGGTTGTAACTTTTAACTTAATTACCTTAATGTTAAGTGCACCTTAATTTTAACCTTTATAAACTCCGAAATATATCTATTTTTTCCAACATTCAAGGAAAAGTAAATTATTGTCAATTTGTAATTATAATGGAACATATATATATACATTTTTTTTAGAAAAATTACGTATCACGAAAAAAAAAAATTGCAACTTTGTAATATTTTTAGTATGCAAGTTCATGTTTTAGTATGTGCTAATAATCTTACAACAGCAACTTGTTGATAATATTGATCAAGTATAAATTTAGATGAATAATTATGCACATACGTAATGCGTGTTAGAAAGCGTATAAATAATATATTTGTAGATTACATGTGTTATACTGACAATGTATTGTATAAATATGTGGCATATACATATGTATATTATTATATATTAGTTCAACTACGTGCATAATCATAATAATGGCACTTACGCAGAATTCACATTGTATACATACGTCACTACTCACTATAATATGTTTATTTTATGTTACAATTTTAGAATTAAAAAAAAAAGCTTTTGTAAAAATATTAAAATATTTGAAATATAGTTTTAGCTTTGTTCTATTTAAACTTTGCTTTTAGAATGCGCTAGAAAAAAAACGTAAACGCAAAACTCAGCAAATTATTTACGCTAAAACTACGAATTGCAAAGCTTTCGCATTTTTTAAAGAGGTATAGATCAACTGTATTTCAGTTGTAAAGTTTTCCGATTATATTGTATAAGTTTCTGTAAATTTATTCTGTAAAACAACGAACAAGTTAGAATAAATAATGGAATTGGTTTGAAGTCTTTATATTAATTTTCTGGTTTATAAAAGAATTCTGTAGTATACTCTTACAAATAACCATTTTAAAATTCATTTTAGGGAACCGTATTTGACTGAACTAAATTATCAGTGCGTCGATTTATTATTTATACAATATTAATACGAATTGCAAAAAAAAAGGAAAATATTTTAGTTGATAAAAGAATAGTTAGCCTATGTGATTCGAGATTATTAATAATGTGAAATTTAATAAATTTATTTAATTAGAATTAATTAAATATTCGAAAAATATAAAATAATATAAACAGTAAAAATATTTAAATAAACATAAAAATATTGGAAACAAATACTGTAATAAGTTTAAATGTAAAGTAATAACTGTAATAAGTTAAAAGCGTCCAGGTAGAAATTTTCCTTTTCGAAATTTGTAATAATTTTCAATATAAAATTTAACATCAATTAAATTAAGAGATTTGATTTCAAAAAATTATTTCAAATTAGTTTCTTGTTGGTTTAATCTTAAATACTTAAATCCTGAATGAAAAACTACAAAAAATAAAACCCAATTTATTTTTTTAATTTTTTTATTTATTTATTTTTATATAATAGTTTTAAATACATAAGAAAGCATACATGTATAAAATAAATAATATATTTACAACTATATTAATGAAATTTTTCCAACTACTGTAATAAAACATGACGTATCTGTAACAATAACAATAATAATAACGATTCGAAAAATTTTTATGATAGTCAAATTTTAAATTGTGTCCGTAAAAGTATATTAGGCCCTATTTTTATTTTTTTTTTCAAAAATATACAAAATTTCGAAAATCTAGTAAAAAATTAAGTAAAAAATTTATTTTTTAAATTAGTTTATGAAAACTGACTTAGTCAGTTTTGCCTAATTGCTCGGATAGTGCACATATTTAATGAATTTTTAAAGAAAATATAAGTTATGCGTATATTTTACATTTTACGAGTATAAAAAAAATATTTTCTTTTATTAATTTTTCTTTTATTTGTTATTTTTTTTGCTAAAATACTTTTATAATAATATTTTTCAGCTAAAAATGCTAGTCCACTTATTATTAGTCCAATTACTAATAACATCCATGCACTTTGTAAATAATTCAATGTTATTTGTCTAAAACAACTAATAGAACCAATATTACATTCATTTTCAGATATAGTTGTTGTTTCTTCAATATAATTTAGAAAATCATATTGATGACATTCAAAAATCGAATCATAAAACCATTTTTGAACTAGACCAGATTGTTGAATTTTACTTGTAAAATTTTCTAAAATATCTGAAAATGGACAATTGATATGTAATGGAAATGCAAAATGTAAATTTGATAATGGTTGATCGATTAATCTCATTATTGGATATTGTTGTTTTTTAATCTGTGATAAATAATATTTACCTTTATCTCTTTTAACTGTATAACCATGTGATAAATTTAATTTTGAACGTTTCTCTTCAAATTCTTGAAAATTCATAATAAAAAATTGTTTTAAAAATTTTTCACTATAATTACCCGATTGTAAGATTAATTTAAATTCTGTTTTAAATGTAGCAATTTTTATATCATTTTTAATAATATCATTAAAATCATTAATATTTTTATTAAATATACGACTAATTAAATAACTATTTAAATAGGCTTGATATAAAACCACTAATATAAAACCAAATTTAATATATGGAATTGTTGTAATTAAAATTTTCCAATTAAATTTATTATATGATGCGAAATGTCGAGATTTTTTAGATTTCATTAATATTTTAGATATATTATAAAATTTTAATTGTGATGATATTGGTAAATAACATAAATATAATATTATCATATAAAATGATTTACTTAAATCTAATTTACCATTTATTAAATATAGTGTTAATGCATTAATTAATGTTAATATAAATATAAAAATAATTATTAAAAACCATAAATTGAATTGAAATGGTCTTATAAAATATTTATATGGTAATATTTCATTACTTGACGGTATCATTATTTTCCAACTTGATATTGTTCTTGGATTTGTATACGTTAAATTATTTAATAAATTTAATAATAATGGATACAAATCCATTGAAATATCAATTATTTCATTTTGTAATAATTTTATATCGGAGTCAAGTTGCCATTCATTTTGTTTAAAATATTTTTTAATAATTAATGTACCATTAATATATTTTAAAAATTCTTCATAAAAATGTTTTATATAACCAGAATTGATGAATTTTTTATGCTTTCTATAATATAGATATTAAAAAAATATAAAATAAAATTTTATTAAAAATTAATTAAATGAAATTTGATTAAGAAAATAGAAATTGTAAATTTACAAATATGCAAATTATAAATAATAAAACCATTTTTAAAACCACATTTCAAATACGATAATGTAAATATAAAATTAATTAATAGTCTAGACAAAATTTTTAATATAATATTTGTTAATTTGCTGCATTGTAACCACTATGAATTTTTAATTTTAGAATTAATTTTAAATTATTAACAATATTTGATAATGATAAAATTTTTCGTTATAGTGCCCGTATTTCATCAAATTCAAATTCGAAAATGCTGTTGATCAAAATTTGGGTTTGCAAAATTGCACATTTCCTTTCTTACATATTATTAATTAATTTAGTTTAGGCATATCTGTATGCTTTTGGGTAAAATTATGGCTACTATTAAATTTTTAGTGTTGAAGAAGTTGAGGACAAAATTTGTCATACAAATTTGTGTAAATATTAAGGGGCAATAATTCGGAAAGCGAAAGTGTATTTATACCTTTAAAGTGTAGAAAAAAATTACTTGGAAAATTTTTCTCCACAAAAATGATGTGGTTTTTAATAAAATTTTATTAAAATAGAACTTATTATAGATAGGCGGAATAAAACTAATAAGCATATTTTTTTCCAATGAAATTTCTGAAAAATTACCCATGACAAGAATCCATGTATGCCAAAATTAGTGAATGAATTCTATTCATTGATATTGTATATTTTGAAATTCTTCAGAATTACAGAATTTCATATTATTTTAACATTTTTTTGTAAATATTTATTCAATATCCAAATTTTAATTTTTACATATTTGCTATTTATATTTCTATTTATAAATTAAATAATTATATATTATATTATGTATATTTATGTTCACTTACCTATCAAAATATTGATACATTCTGGGTGGATCATTTTGAATATTTGTTTTTAAATTATAACCAAAAATATTTTTAAATTTTATTGGAAATAATTCTTTATTTTGTAAATAATTTTTAGTAATATTTATAATATTAAATTTTTGAAATGGATTATATGTTAATATTTCTTGTTTATCATTTAATTCAACAATAAGTATAATATTTAAAAAATGATTTTTCCAACACCAATTGAAAATCCATTGAATTTCATTAAGATTTTCAATTTTTATCATATAAAATATTATTGTTTTTGTTATATGATTTTTTGTTAAAGCCTTACTAAATACATTTAATATTTTATTATTATTTTCATTATTATCAATTGCTAAAATACATAAAGATTGTTTTGAATAATTCATTATAAAATATTTTTCAAAATTTTCATTAAATTTATTTACAAATAATATTGCTGCTGTTTCTTCTACAATACTCGTATTATAAAATTTTCTATTTAGTAATTCATTATTATAATCATTTTGAAAAATTTCATTTATTCTATTGTTTTTGAATATAAAAATAATTTCAATTTGATAATTAATAATTGATTTTGAAATAATATTTGAAATTATTGTATAATTTAAATTTAAAGTCTTAGAATAATTTAAATAAAAAAATAATAAAATAAAAATTTTTGAAATTTTCAATTCTTTTTTATTTAACATTGTATTTTCCTTTCTGTTCGATTGAGACTATAGTGTTATACGAGTACTGGGAGAAAATAAGGAATGTAAAAAAAGAAAATTAATTGTTTTAATTGTTGTTTTCATTTTTATGTTAGAAAGTAAATTTTAAACAAAGTTATGAAACAAGAAAAACCAAACCATTGTATTAGAATTTTTTATTTATGCTGAATAAATTTATTTGATTGTAAAAAAAAATATATGTATGTACTAACAAATAATTCACAAGGATAATGACAGAAATGTGCATATGAAATGTCGATTAAAGTGTTGCCATTTATTGTGATTTAAAATGGTAATCATGATGAACGTGTTTTTTTTTCTTCTTCGTGAGAAGCTTTCGTGAGAAGCAATATTCGCAATAATTTTGTAATCAAATATATACTTACAATGAAATATTGGAGTTGTAATGGGGATCATAATAGGTCACTGTCTTATTGGTGAATACACCAGAAGCTGCTGTGGCAAGGAGGGAGAGGAAACGGTGGTGCATTTCCTTTGCTCATGTCCAGCTTTGACAAGGATCAGGCGTTTTTACGGACTACGGATCTGACGAATGCAAATGCGAAGGACCTTAGTCGGTTTCTGAAAAGTTCGAGCTGGTTCTCGTAAGGGTGTGGGATTTTGTGGATCTAGCAGTATTATAAGTTCACAAGCACTAAATATAATTTGCCTAAATCGAGAATTTTAAAAAGATCATGCGACTTCTACAAAAACCCTTTCTATTGTAGAAAAATTGTGTAACCTCTGCAATAAAAATTTTAACTACTATTTTTATAAATTGGCAACACTATTTTTTTTCCTGATTGCGATTGTATGTGTGTATACGAGTAGTGTCCGAATATAAAAATTTATTTTTTTTTTATATCGTCTTTATTATTGCAATAAACTAATAATTGACCTAGGCTGAATGTTTTTATTACGGAACATGGTAAAGAATAAAAATTTTGTTTGGAAGAAATAGGAAATTCATTGTCATAAAATCGTAAATTACTATAAAGTGAAAAAAAACAAGGAATTTAAAAAATGAATTCAAACAAGAAAAATGGATTTTTTTTTTATGATAATAGCTCTTGGCCTTGCAGCATTTTTAAAATGTAAATTTTAATTCTGAAAAAAAAATTCCTATTTTTAAAGAAATTTATAAGTTTTTGTGACATTTGGACAAAGTGAACAAAGTTAAATTGCAATATTTGTCCAAACTTTTCATTTATAATCACTATATACTAAAACAAACTTTTAATTTCCGATTTGTTAGACACGAAAAGTATTCAAAACTAAATAGGAACAAGATGATTTCTTAAAACTGAAATTACTGGAATATAACTTAAATTACCATAAGCACAAACTTGAACGGGTTACTGATCAATAGAGTAGATTTTGTTGCCAGAATGCATGGTGACAGCCTTTGTTTTTTGAACTGAAAAGGACTTTTTTACCTACGTACGGTAATTAGCTTTCAGTTTTTCGGGCTTGTTGCTTCCCTTTTTCCTTTTAAATTGGAATGTTACAATAAATTTTGGTAGCTGCGATGATCTCTTCAACCTGTTAAGTGTCTTGTTGTATAATTAAATCTAGTTTAATGTATAACACTGAATACTTTTGAAATTAAACAATCTAAAGTATAATTTCATATTCGACTCTTGGATATCAGACAAATATTATGCGTTAAACGCGTATTTCTTTAATAATGGGATTATTTTAAACGCATAAGATGGAATAACGACATTTCTAGTCCAAAAAAATTATCAAATTATAAATTACCAATTATCATTAAAATATATACTTTTGCTTACTATATTTTTTGCCAAGCATTTAATAATTATTAAAATTCCATAAACGCAACAGTTTGTGAGTGGTAAATATAAATTTATACCTAACTATATGTATGTGTATATGTGCTTGTATTATAATAAAAATTCATTTTCGAAAATTTTGGAAATTTATGGCCAAAACTATTTTATAACTTTGAATGAAACTAAAAACCTTTTTTTTTTCTCTCTATAATAGTGTTATAATATAAAGTGTAAGTAAAATTAGAAAAGCAAAGTCATAAAAGTTTTGCAATCATTACAAGTTTGTCGAAAAAAAAATTCAAAGATAGTGAAATCAAAAATTATTTATCTGGCAAAAGAGTTTCGTTTTGCTAGTTGCCCATATATGTTTAGAGCATATTCTTCATTTAATGTTTATCTATAATGATCCGCTTTAGAAGGTTTTTTTAATATGAGAGTTTGAATACATAAATGGATATGACTCCTTCAAATTTGGTTTGACATTGACCATTCTTTTTCGGAGCTTAGAAATGAAATTGTTCGCCTTCATGTTTTCCTTTTAAATTGTTAAAACAATATGGAGGAAAATATTTCGATTATCAAAATTTAAAATCATACAATTTTGATGTTCGAACGGAAACGATATTAAAATAAATATAAATCCGGTACAATTTCACTGTGTTTTCGGTAAGATTTCGGTGAAAATAAATTTGTGTTTTAATATTTCTTCAAATAACTACATAAAACGCAGATTGCAAACCAAAACTACCAATTCTGTTTTTGAACAAATTTGGTTCATTGCCCGAAAAAATTCGAATTCAATTAT